AAAAACTATAAGACTTTAGAAGATGAAGTGGAAGACTACCTTTCTGACCTCAGAGAGGGAAATACTATTTGTTACAAAATATAAAGGAAGAGAGTACTAAATTGGGACTAATGTTACATTTGGAGATGACTGTATAAAGAACAAATAGAGTGAAAAACAGTCCTTATAGTTAAGGAGTTGTTTGCAAGTCATAACTTCCATAGGATTAACATCCAAAAATATAAAGAACTTTTATAGATGAAAAAGGAGAAAGACAACCAGGTGAAATACTGTGCAAAAGATGGGAACAGGGATTTCACAGATGAAGAAACACGAATGGCCCATAAACACGGCACAAGATGCTCAGTCTTTTCAGTACTTTTCAGGGAGTTACAATTAAAACCACGATACTATTTGTCATCCCCCAGACTGACAAATGTTAAAAATGTCTGACAACACCAAGGACCGGCCAGAACGTGGAGAGTCAGGGAGTTTCTCACAGCTGAGGGGAGTTCAGATTAGTGCGGCCACTCTGTTAAAGCAAGTTGGCAGTGCCGGGGAAAGCGGAGTGTGCGTAACTCCTGGCCCCGTAATTCCACTCAGGACATTCTCACATATGGCCACCAGGAGTCGTGGACAAGAAAGTTCATGGCAGCATTGCGAGTGAGGGAAAAAACGGAAGCAACCCAAATGTTCACCAGCAGTGGATTGAATGTATACATTATGATATAATTAAGTAACAAACTACAATCAAACATTGAATACGTTGGTATGGATGAATTGTAAGGTAGTTTCGAGTGAAAGAAGCAAGTTGCAGGAAAATATGTAACTCTAGGTTTTAAACGTGTTAAATGAATCATGCGACTGATGCATAATTGCGAAATAATAAAATACAGGAAATGATTAATGCAAACCCCAGGACACTGGTTCCCGGAGAGCAGCCAGTGTGGTGGGAGGGGCCTGCTGGGTGAGGGCCCACAAAGAGGCTGCGGACCGACCAGAGCGCACTGCTTCTCAGGAAGTGTAGTGGGTAGACGGGGACGTGCTTTATACCTTTTCATACACAGTTCATACACATTTTATACACAGTTCGATATATTTTTAATTGTAAACATATAAGGGGGGGCCCAAAAAAACCCAAAATTTATTATAAAAATTGTGTATTTATTCTTACATGTTTAAATTTCATTCACCTTCAAAGTACTCTTTTTTAAAAAAAGATTTTGATTATTTTCAGAGAGAGGGGAAGAGAGGGAGAAAGAGCGGGAAAGAAACATCAATGTGTGAGAGAGACATTGATTGGTTGCTTCTTGTACCCCCCCAGCTGGGGACCTGGACTGCAATCCAGGCATGTGCCCTGACTGGGAATTGAACCAGAACCTTTTTTTTTTTTCAAGATTTTATTTATTTATCTTTAGAGGGGAAGGGAAGGAGAGAGGGAGAGAAACATCAATGTATGGTTGCCTTTCGTGCATCCCCTGCTGGGAACTGGCCTGCAGGGAACCAGCCTGCAACCCCGGCATGTGCCCTGACTGGGAATTGAACCGCGATCGTCTGGTTTGCAGGCCCGAGCTCAATCCACTGAGCTACACCAGCCAGGTGAACCAGAATCTTTTTGATTTGCAGACCAGTATTCAATCCACTGAGGCACACCAACCAGGGCTCCAAGTACTCTCTATTTGGTTCAGCACACCTATCAATACTTTCTTCCACTGCTCAAAATAGTTTTTGAACTTGTATGTTTTGATGCCTTTTAGTGCTTCTGCTGTTTTGTTTCATCTCTAATGTATCAGCAAAAGGTTTCCCTTTGAGGACTGTTTCCATTCAGGGGAGCACAAAAAGTCGATCAGGGCGAGATTGGGTGAATAGAGAGTCTGGGGCACAGAGGTTATGCTGTTTTGATCAAAAACTGCCAAACATTCAGCACAGTGAGGGCAGGTGTGCTCGTAAATCACCCATCATGAAATAGGCAAATGCATTGAAAGAGTCTTCAAAAAAAACTCACCGGAGCTGAATGCAGCCTCTCACAACAATGCCAGCTGGTGCACTGATACAGATAGGTTCCTAGAACCCTCCCTAGCTGAGGAAGCCTGTGCTACAAGGGGCCTGCCCGCCAGAAGGTAATTCTGTTTTTTTGGGGGTCCCCCTTTGTATATTTTAAAAATTTAAGAGATAGTAGGAAATATTTTGAAATTAGAGGTATTAGGGTATTGAAAATTCACAAAGGTTGAAAGTCACCCCAAAAAGTGTTTGGAGGAGACTTCCTTTTCTAGGTTAAGGCCTCCCCATATTTCAGTTTCAGAGTTTGAGTGAGGGGGGAGGGACAGGGACCGAAAGGAGCGTCGCTGGTGTAGTACTATACATGGAGTAGGGGGGACGCTGGTCCCTGGACCTGACTGCTTCTCCTCCTCACTCCCTTCTTCACATCCATGAACATTCGGTGACCGACTGCTCAGTCCTGGCACTGTCCTTGGGGCCAAGTAGCCAGAAGGTAAAGCCCCGTCTTGGTGCTTGTAGTAGTTTTCGAACCTTGGTCATAGAGGCTTTGTCCCTCTCAGCTTCCTAACTGACTGACTCCACAGGCAAAGCCACTTCAGGTCTGTGTCATAATCCAGTCTTTGAGATTTGTTAAAGGAAATCTTTTATGTACGTATTTTAAAAACCTCACTGAATGCCGTCTTTGAAGTTTTCAGTGTAGTATCATTCCTGCTTTGGTGCTAGCCCATTGTTAATATTCTGATGCCTATATTTTTTATTTTCTAATTTTTTTTCTCTCTTGATGAACTCTAATTGTTTGGAATTGACTCTGATGTATTGATGTTACCATTCTATCTATATTTTTGAGACTCAAAATTGTATCTAATCTTAAACCTTGTCTTAAAGCAGTATTTTCAAAGCACAACAGGCATTCTGCTGGAGAACACTAAGTGGGGCAGAGGGAAACGTTTTTTATTTAACAGTCATGTAGTTATTTTAATGTTTATTGTAAGATATACATATGGAACCTGTGATTTCATGGCTGCTGTTACCGAGGGTGCAGCTAAGATAATCCATCTCCCATAAACTGCATGAGTTAATGGCCCAGGTGGCTCCCAGACAGAGCGAAACGTCCTGAGATGAATACGTGGAGTACAGATGAGGGCTTCAGTCGTGAAGGTGAACTTAGATATTCTCCGATGTCCTGTGATTGTCTCCTGCTCGTATCATAATTCTCAAAAAATAAAGCACATGTGGTTTGTCAGGGGAAAAGCAATCTACAGATTTCATCCAGGCAAATGATTTGTTCAAATAACATATTCCGTTCTAGGACAGGTTCTGGAAATACACAAATACGGGAAGTGCAGATCCCAGCCTTGCAGAGATAGGTGAGCGCACCAGTGGCAGTTGGGACGTCGTTCAGGGGAGCGTTGAACGGTGGGTGCTGACTTAGGGAGCAGTGAGGCGAGTCTGCACAGAGGAAGGGAGCCTGTGTGCAGTCTGGGGAGTTGAGCAGAACATTCACAGAGAACCAGGCTGGGAGGGGCAGACCCCAGAACGGCGGGTGCCGAGATGCGAGAGCTGGGAGAACACGTGGTGTTGGGTCAGCTTGAGCAGGCCCTGGTCGATTTTGCTCGTGTGAGGTGAAAGGCGAGGGGAGAGGAGCCGGAGATGAACGCTGTGGGATGTGGCGGCGTTTACTGAGCTCTGATTCTGAGGGTGATGGCCGGCCTTTGAAGGGTTTTGAGCAGAAGACTGATGGGTCTGGGGGAGCGTAGACAACGAACCGAAAGAGGAAAAACCAGCATCGCATTACAGTTAGTCGTGGGGCAGAGGGACCAGGACAGCCACTGGGGGAAGGTCAGAATTTCTGCTTTGTTTCGTTTCATGTCATTTTCAGGAAACTGGATTGCATTTAGACTTTTCTGAGAGTGTAATGGGTCAAAGGGGATAGTGCTGGGTGATTTGGAGTCAATATATGAAGTTTCTGAAGGAACCTGTATTACTCCATCTTTACTTTAAACAAGGTATTAACTAACTTTGCCTATACGGTCTTAAAGGCCAGTCGATTTTTGCTTATCTTGCGTTAAAATGTATATAAGCGGCATATAAGGGTAAATGGAGAGCATGGTATCGATGAGGTACACGGCTGCAAACACGTCCTCTTTTCCAGTGAGCCGGTACGTACCGTGACAGACTGCAGAGGCAAGGGGATGTTTAAACTCCTTTGCAGTTAATATCCTGCCAAGAAAATCTCAGATAATGGTGTTATTTAAAGGGGATTGGGTGGACAGCAAAGTCAGTGTCCTATCAAGAGCCTCCTTTAAATCATGCGTGTTCTACCGAATTGCGGCATATGTTTACTTTAGTGCATATTTACTATTAAACCCTAAACTCGATAGTCTTTGGGTTTCGTGTGTATTGTTCTGCCTTCCAGAGAAATGCATCAGGGCGCCAACCTATTGTTGTGCCTCAACGTACCATAGTTTAGAGTGGTCTGCTGCCTACTGCCGTGTCTGGGAGTGCTCATTGGTTTCTGTGTACATAGCCAGCCCCTTAACACCAAATTCCCTGCCTCGCATTTATTTTGGGAATGTTCTCCTAATAGGCACGTTCTGGCATGTGGCTTAGTCAGCTAATTGGCTAACATTCAAAAGCCACGAGCTCTCAGCACTTCAGCCCCACACAAACTGCTGACTCCAATTAGGGAGTGAACTCTAAGATCTTAAAAAAAAGAGATCCAGAAGCATTAAAGGGGGGGAATTTATGCAGAGGGCACATAGGGATGTTCAAAAGGGAAGTTGACATTGCCTTGGTGCCATGACTGCACAGAGTGATGAGGAAGGAAGCCCGAAACAAGGGCCGCAGTGGCCCGGGCACAGGCGCGGGGGCCTTTCTGCGGAGCCCGTGAACGTGGGTTGTGCTGGAGCGTAGTGGACTCAGAAAGCTGTGTTCTCCAGCTCTCGTCGCCATTTCTTTTGAAGTTCTTTTTCGTGCTTTTGAAGATATAATTCCTTACTTCCTTATTTTCTACTTTGACACAGAAATCCCCTGCAAAGAAGCTGAGCCATGCAATTAGTAAATCTTTGGGGTGCGTACCCACCAGAGAACCCCCGCATCCTGTTTTTCCTGAGCAACCAGAGAAACCACTTGACCTTGCAAATATAGTGTAAGTATACGTCTGGATATGGATGTGGATTAGACTGACCTGGAGACCTTGCTCAATTCTTTTGGATCCAAACCACTTAACGTGAACGTGTAACCTTCTGGTTTGGGGAAACTTAGATTTCAAGCTCTCATCTCTTTAAATCACCGTGAATGTCTGTGTCGATACCTAGCTCCTGAGTCCTGAAGGCTAGTGACACATTACAGTCTCCAAAAGAAGCACTGACACGTTGAAGAGTAATTGCTGTACTGGATTTAGCCAAGTTGCCTTTTGTCATTGGTGTGCTGTTCCCCTAAAACAGTGGTAGCGGTTGCTTCTTCTCTATAACAGTAATGCCTATAGATTTTAAAAATTCGTTTAGACGACACAGAAATGAATACCAACCTGATTTGATCTTTCTGTATTGAGAGAAAATTAGGAAACATAAGGCTGTATTTTATAAAGAAAGCTAGTGAGATATATGTATTTAATTGAACACTCATGCTAGAAAGCTGAAGGGACCAAAAGAGTTAGAGAAATAGAGGAAAAGTGAGGAGGAAGAGCAGCAAAGATGGATACTATTCTGATCTCTTCTCTCTGAATTAAGTGCTGGTACTAAGTTTAGTCTGCTGGGTAAAGTTGGTAGTGTTTGATCATTCATTTTTATCAGGTGTTAGAAAGTTTTTCTGCTGGAGTAGATATTCATTTTCTTTCCCTGTGTGATGGTAGAATAATACAAGCGTGTGGTTTGAAAGTTCAGTAATACGGAACTTAAAAGGAGACCTAACACTTCATCCTCCCACACTTCATTGTGTTTTGTTTGGCTTTTGGATCTACTAGTGGTTACCTCCATATCCCTAAACAGTACATTTATAGCACCATTTCTTGACTTAATCAGTTTTGGACATTGCTGAATCCCTTCTGGGGTATAAGGAATCAACCCATCCCAGTTTTTCATAATTATGAGGTCTGTCTGGAATAAGTCCAGCCATTGTTAATATACTGAGAACAGTTTGCAAGACACCAATGTAACCTGGCAGCCAAGGAGAGTGGACTGGAATGCACATGCATGAACAATGACGATGTCACTGTACTAGTCAGTGGGGGTAGTAGACGAAGTTGAGTGAGTATGTTTATTGTGTGGCTGTTGCATTCAAAGTGACTGAGTAGAACAACAGATCTGCCTCAAATGTGTGTTAAGCTTGATCCTCCATGGAAACTATTCGGATGACTCAGCAGGCTTTCAGGGATGATGCCATGAGTGCAGCACAAATAAAAGTGTGGCACAGGTGCTTCCAAGATGGTTGAGAATCAGTTGAAACTGATCCATGTTCTGGAAGGCCTGCAACAAGCTGATCACCTGAGAATGTCAAACGTGTATGGGCTGCAATCAACGAAGATTGGCAGCTGACAGTGTGGGAACTAGAAGCTCATCTGGGGATTCCAAAAACTACTGTGTCCAAGATTTTGACTTAGGATCTTGGCATGAAACATGTCGTGGCAAAATTTGTTCTGCAGCTTCTGCTACCAGAGCAGAAGGAAGGAACATGGTGCTGCAGTTGCTAATGACTTGATTCAAACTGCTACCATTGAACCAGATTTCCTCTAGGTCATAACTTTGAAAGGGTCTGAGCTGTCATTGACCTGTGTACGATGTTTCTTGTATCTTGTATCATCTTCAATCAGTGTCTCTGTTTTTCATGTTACGTGGCTGGATACTTTCTAGATGGACCTCGTATATCACCATTTTTTACATTGGTCAACTTTGTAATTTTAAATGATGTTTTTAAACCTCTATTTCTTTTAAGTTTCCTTGACTTTTGTATAAAATGAGGCAATTAGTACCTTCCTTCTATTTCCTCTGTCTCCTTGCACCTCCTAACTTGTGTCATCTGTGCCTTCACTTTTGTGTTGTCAAAACTGGTAGTGTTTCTGTTCTCTCTTACGTGGGGTTAAATCTAAAAGTTACAAACCAGATAACAGCATTTGCAGTTATTTACAGCATTTACAGTAACAAGGACTTACTGCAACGTCCAGTGGTGTGCTGTGATTCTGTATGCTCTTGTAGTTCAAGTTCATGAGCCCTGTGAACTCCGTCTGGGTTCTGTGGGAACTTCTTTCTCATACGGCACTGATTGCTCAAAACCATGCCTGTTGACTTTGCAATCGTACTGACTTTCTGACTTGTGTTTTCTTCCATTTCCCATTGCTTTTGTCTTCTTACTGGGGGGGAAATGCTTTTTTACCCATACTGAATTTTACCTGTTGTGTGTAATCCATTTGGGGGGTTAAATTTATTAGAATTCTCCCTTTTTGGTTTTAGTGTTTTTAATGTTTCTTTTTTTTTTTTTTTTCCTTAAAAAGAAAGTCCTTGTCACCCTGACAGGTGTGGCTCAGTTGATTGGGCTTTGTTCCATGAAGCTAACAGTCGCTGGTTCGATTCCTGGTCAGTGCACCTGCCTGGGCTGTGGGTTTGGTCCTGGTTGGGGTGCATATGAGAGGCAGCCAATCGATGTTGCTCTCTCGCATTGACGTTCCTCTCCCTCTCTTTCTCCCTCCCTTCCTCTCTCTCTAAAAAATAGATAAACGAATGAAATATTTTTAAAAGGTCCTTGTGTATCCCAACATTGTAGAGATTTTTTTCTCTCTTTCCTTTTTTCAAGTTTTGAGAATTCCCCTTTCACATATGTCTTTAATTCATCGGAAGTAGATTTTTGTGTATAGTGTGATACAGAATATGTAATTCTCTTTCTTTTTCCTTTGCTTTTGAATAATAACTTGTCTCAGAGCCATTTATTGGATAATTTATTATTTCTCCCCTGACCTACAATGCCCCTACTGTCACAAATGAAGTTTCTACATACACACAGTTTTGTGTCTGGGCTCTGTCTTCTGTCCCTTTGGTTAAATCGTTTATCCCTATACCAGTATCCTAATTACTGTAAGGGATTAAGTAATCTTTTTAGAAGAAATCTCATCTATTCTTTGCTCTTTCATATAAAGTTTAGAATCAGCTTATGGAGTTCCTCATTAATTGAGTTCCTCATTATTGAGTTCCTCATTATTGAGTTCAAAATTTTGTTGGATTTTTATCAGGTCTTCAACTGAATCTGAAGATCAAATTGGGGAGATTGACATCTTTACAGTATTAAATCTTTCATCCCAGGAATGTTTTATGTCTTTCCATTTATTTAAATATTACTCTTATGCCTTTCAATAAAGCTTTCTAATTTTCCCCAGAAGGGTTTTATGTAAGTAGATTAATTCTTATGTACTTTACATTTGTTGTTGCTGTTGCAAGTAGTACCTTTTTTCCTACAGTTTAAAAACATAGTTTACATGCAAAAAACCCACCCACTTTAAGTGTACAATTTGCTGAGTTTTGACAAATGTATGTCATTGTGCAAATAGTATCTTTTTTGAATTATGCACCATAACAGTTCATTGCTGGTGTGTGGAGATGCAAATTGGTTTGGTGTTTTAATCCACTGTATAGTCATCTTGCTATGTTAACATGCTCATTGATTCTGGAAATTTGTATTCGGGTTCTGAGGGATTTTCTGTAAATAATATAATATATTACCTGCACAGAGTGACAGCCTTGTCTCCTCTCTCCTACTCATTAAACTTTTAAGCATTAATCATACCTTTTTTTTCTTTTGGTCTTATAATACTGGCTAGAACCTCCTGTGCAATATTGAATAGAAGTGGTTTAACAGGCATTCTTGTGTTATCGCTAATCCCAAAGAGAATGCTTTCAGCATTCATTTACTATGTCATTTGATGCAGTCTTTGAATAAACTGTTTATCAGGTAGAAGAGGTTTTCTTTTATTACTAGTTTGCTAAGACTGCTTTCTTTTTGTCATGAATGGATGTCAAATTTACTTAAAGACTTTGTCTGCATTAATTGAGATGATCATATAAGTTTCTTTATTCTATTAATGTTGTGAATTACATTTTTAAAAACGATTCTGGAATAAATGTAAATTGACTCTCTTTTTAATACACTGTTAGGTTTCACTTGCTGATATTTCATTTAGCTTTTGCCTATGTTTATGAGTTAAATTGTTCTGTAATTTTTCCTTTTTTTCTCTTTAGGACAAAGTTTGCCTACTTTGCTTACTTCAAAAAGTTGAGCAACATTCTCTCTTTTTATACTTTTTGGAAGAGCTTGTTTAAGATTGGAATTATTTGCCCCTTAGCCTTCTTTGGGGGAAAGTTTTTAATGGTTAATTTCATTTTCAAAAAGGATTATAAGACTGTTTTTGTTTTTTATTTATTTTTTAGTCACTTTGGAACACTTTATATTTGTAGGACTTTGTCAGTTTCTTCTAAATTTTCAGTTCTTGGCACAAAGTTTGTAATATTTTATGTACACTATGTATGCTACTATCCCTTTTTTCATTCCTAGTTTCATGTATTTATGGATTTTCTCTCTTTTTTATTTGAAAATCTTGCCATAGGTTTGTATAGCCTATTGGATTTTCAGAGGACCAACTTTTGTTTTTTATAATTCTTTTATTGTATATAATTGTATTTTTAAATTTCAGTTCCACCCTTACCTTCATTATTTTTGTTATAGTTTCTTTTGCTACTCTAAGTTCTTGAAAGACATGATAGCTTACTCACTTCAAGTTTTCCCCTTAATATAAGCATTTAAAACCTATTAATTTCTCTAAGCACTGCCTGAGTGGTGTTCCGGGGCACATTATATAATTTTTTTGTTTAGTTCTAAGTTCTGTTCAGATTTCTTTGTTGAGATGTATACTTTCTTAATTTCCAAACATACGGGCATTTTCTAGTTCCTTTTTGTGATTAATTTTTAGTTTAATTCATTTTGGCCCACATTATTCAGTTCATTCAGATTTGTTGGTATGTATTTATTGTCTGACGTAGAATCCAGTTTCTGTCCTGGCCCTGGTAAATTTGGAGATAACGTGTGTCCTATGCTAGTTGGGTGCAGAATTCATAGTGACGGACTGACTGTGTGTCCATGGGGTCCGGTTTGTTAGTCATGTTGCTA